TATATATATATATATATATATATATATATATATATATATCATTTTACACCTGTGTTTGATATAATGGAAATTATTTTCAAAATAAAATAAATGAATTATTTGTTTATTTATTTATTTTCTTATGTTCAATATATAAATAAAAAGTATTATTCGTACATGAGCAGTAAATACTATAAGAGGTGAGATGAAGGGTTATAGAGATAAGAATAAAGTGTATGATAATGAAATAAACTTAATTAAAATCTAATATCACTTGTCAAATTTAGTTTTCTATTTTGATTAGAAAAGTTATTTTAACTAACTATTCTTAAAGGGGAAAACACAAACCTTGTTTACTTTGAAAAAGTGTTGTTCAAAAATTTGGGCCAATCAAATATAAATTTATAAATATTTATTGAATTCAAGTTAACATTTTTCAGATGGACTCAAAATTTGATGTCCTAAACCATAATCTTTTCTATAATTGGCTGGGTGCTTGAAGGTAATAGAATCCAAAAGACAAACGTGTACTTTCTTGTTTTCTAGTGACACACAACTTTTTTTTTTTTATGGTACATTAATCTTTTTTTTTTCTTTCAAAATGCTAGTAAAGCTTAAACAAAAAGATACTTTTTAATTCCCTTGTCTAGATATAGGAAATTACAAACTTACATTTTGTTTAATCTTCCTCACTTTATTCTTTATATAATAACAAGGACAAGTGTAAAAATCCAGACAGAAAGAGAAAACCTTTATTATTGTAGGAATATGCCATGGATTCCCAATAATTCTATCCTCGGGCATTATTTCATAATATATCATTGTATGCTATATGATTTTAATAAATACGATAAAATAAGTGAATGGATTATATAGTTCTCTATTGTTATATAATGTTTACATATTTATTAATGATAAATCTAAAAAAAAAGATATCATACAAGGTAGAATATATGAAAAATAAAGTAAATAATGAAATTGAATTATTAAATAATAAGAAAAGTCAAAATGAAAAGAAAAATATAATGACAACGACTCAATCACACCAAATCGATCGTTAATTTTTTCATTGTTACATAACGATAAATTAACTTAAATGAAACAATATAATAAAAATTTAAATAACAAATAAAAATAAACATTATATTGCGGATAACCCTCGTCCAAAACAAGGTGTTAAATAAGCTAAGCGTTCAACAAATTTTATTTCTCTCAGGTGTGGGGTTGCCTAGATATTGTATGTGTGTTAGGACATTTATGATTTATACATGTAAATGTGTGCTAGTACTTAATTTTAACTATATTTTAAATAAGCAACTCACCTACCAAATATTTTCTTTTAAGTGCAGTGTGATCTGACGAATACAATTTAATTTAATTCATAATCTTGATAAAAATTATTCTGACACGACTACTTATATTGCAGATTGAATAATAATAATAATAATAATAATAATAATAATAATAATAATAATAATAATAATATACTGTATTGGAAATGAGAAGGGACAAATTAAAAGACCTTTTCTATGTTACTCAACATTGTAAAGAGAAGGGAAAATTAATTTTTAAAATGAGGAAATATACTTTTCCAAACTGAAATGATGAGGAAATGTCATCATGATTTTTCATGAAGATTTATTTATAAGAAATATACAAACTGTGGGTAAACAAATATAAGAATAATAAAATAATAACTAAAACAATCATCCCATGATTCCTATTGTACTATACAAATACAATAATTTGAACCCACACAAAACATTGTGGAAGTAATCTATTAGATTATTTTATATGTAACGATGTAAATGTGTGTATCACAATTTTCTGATTCATTTGCTGAGAGAATTTTACCTTTTTATATTTGAAAGTAAGTAAAAAAGTATCATGATCATATGACCTATGTTGTAATTGAGTCCCATTGTGGTGTCAGGATAATGTAATTTATCTCTTGATATGATTTTAAACGATTACCTGCTCGTCAGTTAATTTTTAATCCAAGATATATTTTTTTTATCAAAATGATATATATGAAAGGAAAATTTGCATTTGTGGCCGTT